ATTCACACACATGTATGCAAGCATGCAATATATAGGAAACTAGAAAGCCATAAACACAATGTACACACCATATTAATTCAGAGACGTACATTAAGATAATTGCAAGAGAGTTTAAGCAATTTTTGTGCAAACAGGACGGGTTGCTGAATACGACACGCCAGCCAAGCTACTAGAGAGAGAAGAGTCCTTGTTTTCTAAACTCATAAAGGAGTACTCGATGAGATCCCAGAGCTTCAACAACTTAGCAAATCTACAAAATTAAACCCTGCTTGATGGATCAATAGGAGATCCCAAGGCATAATTCAAAGAACCATGAATTGGGCTCGGATCATTTTATACCAATGTCTGAAACTTTGATTGGAGCCAAATGAATTGTAGCTGTTATAGTCACTTCTACAATGTAAACTAGAAGCCCAAATTCATGTTTCTTCTCATAGATGCAGCATTCAAGAGATTATGAATTTTATATCAATGTCAAAATAAACAAAGGTGTTCTCTGGGGGATCTGTTATATCTATATCAAGTTTGTAAGTAGCAGAGTTTACCAATTTAAGCATTTTGGCTGATAAAAGAATTCCAAGAATCTTCTGGCAACTTATCTGCATTGAATTGTGTAAACAATGTGTTAGATTCCAAACCCAGAAAAATTCCAACGTAACCCTTCAGAAAGAATTTCATCATTTATATTTTCTATTAATACCCACCTTTTTGCTGACCCATAGTATAGAAAAAACAACTTTGCAATTTTACTTTTTGAGGTTAAAAGTTTGCTCTTCTGTCAAAAGACAAAATCATTTTCATTTACTTTTTATGTCAATCCATAACCCATGTACACACCCATCTTCTTCAACTCACTCTCTCTTATCTTTTGTGTTGGGGCATTTGGAATGCAAGGGTAAATGACTTGGTTATAAATGGAAAACTAATCACTGTGCCGGATTGCATTGAATTGTTGCTGCATGCATTGGTGTGAGGTTACAGATTGCCAGAGACTTGGGTTTAGAAAGGTTAATTATTCTTGAATGGATGTTAAGAATTTAATCTCCAAATTATCAAGTGAAGGATATATTTTCATATAACCTTTGAAAAATGGCAGCTGCTATATTTGATTTTCTCTCCATAGCCTTAAATGCTAGTTTGACTAGTGTGTAGTTAAGTCCCTATAAAAGGAATATCAGTTTGTACATTTCATTTGCAATCCATTCCAGCTGAATTGTACTCAGCCAATACAGCTGAGTGTTTTCTCAAATATCTTGCTTGATTTTTTTACATTTCTTTTCCATTTCTTCGACAGTGAAAATGAGAGAGGTGTGATATAGTTTGTAAACTTATTGCCCGCGTTATTTGGTATTAGTTTGTACACTTTATACCAACAATCACTTCTAAACATCGTCTTAGTTTTGTACCTAAATTGGTGTAAACAACACATGAATTAGTAAAAAAACTTCTGCAACGAAATGTTCTTCTCAGTCTCCTTCTTCATTACCTTACCAACTGCCATCTCAAAATCTTCTTGCATTACATGAACCCTCCTCTACCTCAAAGCAAACATCCCTGCTTCTGTGCAAACAGCCTGCAGCCAGGAGAGCGAAGACAGTGTTTTAATATGTGCACACAAAACCCTGACTTCCTAAGAAACCTCTGAGATATAAAATACCTTCATCTCTGCACCAGATGCACCATTCATCTTCTCTGCAATCCTCTTCAAATCAACTCCACGCCTTAAATTCATTTTCCTTGAATGTATTTTCATGATCTTCCAACGAGACTGCAGTTTGTTATATGCATTAGTAAGTATTCTTTTTAAATAAAAGCTATGACTTCTATGAAATTTCCTGTTCTTTGTTGCACCCTCATCAGATAACAACTTTAAATAAGTGGACTTATATTACATAAATGCGAATTGTTTAGCAGTGACCAACCTCCGTTAACGACATACAAGAGCGAAACTTAAATGTACACCTATGAATGCATAAATAAACCCCCTAATATTAATCCATGGTGTAGTGAGTGGCATGTACCTGTTCAGTAGGATTTGGAAATTTAATCTTCCTGTCAATTCTTCCTGGCCTAAGGAGTGCTTGATCCAGAATATCAATACGATTTGTGGCCATTATAACCTGTATAACCCATAATTTAAAAATGGTGGTTGTCATATGAAAGATATGTTAGAAATATTACATTGCGTTTCAATATCAATGAATCCACATTCTGTATAGCACCTTGATGTTGCTTGATGCCTCAAATCCATCCAGCTGGCTGAGAAGCTCTAGCATAGTCCGCTGCACCTCACTGTCTGTTCCACCACCAGATTGCACACGAGCAGATCCAATACTGTCGATTTCATCTGTGAAAATAATACATGGAGCATATTTCCTAAACAAAATATAAAGTTAGAATACAGTAAGTAAATGGGAAGCAGAAGGATAAGACGAAGCAGATTAGCAGCCATAAGTCTATGCAATAATTATATTTCATTTCATTCAATTTGGCAGGCTAAAAAGAAGCAGATCAGCGAATAATCCACAAACAAAATCTTTGCAGCCGAGAAAGGTAAACATATATTCAAAAGCTCAGGGACCAAAAAGCTATTGTTCTTTTGTTTCTTTTAGTTGCCACTAGCAAGGATACCCTATTTACTGTATGAATATATTTCAATACCATTGATGCCTAACGTCACAATTACAAATAAAAAGCTTATTCTAGTTCAGAACTTCTCTTCATGAATTAGATCCTCACAGTAAATCTGAGCATAGAATAAGACTCGAGAAATAGAGCAACAAATTTCAAAAAGAAGGTAACAAACATAACAAGTGGAGACAGAGAAACAGAAAATCATGATTAGTCTCCATAAAAAGAGATCAAAACAAACCTGGCCAGGAAAAAAAGTTCTCTAACCATCTTAGCGCCTACCCCAATGTACTTCTGAGCTAACTTAGTTGCAGAAATGTGCCCGAAAGAACATTTAGCGTGATGAGCTACAGCCCGAGCCAACAATGTTTTCCCAGTGCCAGGGGGCCCATAGAGCAGGATGTGCTGTCATATGGAAGAGTGAGTTTCAGGGCACAAATGTAACACTTAGTGCTTACCAAGTAAGCAAAGAACAAACGCAAGAACTTGGCAGCATATATCTACCTTTGGTTCAGCTATACCAAGGAGCTCAAATAATTCAGGATGTCTGATTGGAAGTTCAATGACCTGGGAAGATGATCACATACCATTAATGATGAATGCAGAAGAATGCGAAGAAATAATGTAACAGAAACCAATCCAAATCACAAAAACCACACGAGCAATGAATTGTAAATTCAGAGAGTAAGAATGTGCAGAAGAAAACCTCCTTTATTTCTTTTATTTGCTCATCAAGACCACCAATCATATCATATGTACATTCAGGATTATTTTGAACTTTCGAAAGTTTGAAGACAGGATCAATTTTTTTTTTGCAGTATTGCATGAATAGTATAGCTGCGTCTTCGGAGAGCAATTCTTGTTGATAGTTTGAGCTCTATGACATCAATGTTTTCATCAACATCAACAACATGCATCCCTTGTCCAACAATCTGGAAATTGAAAAGAAACAGAAGTGGGCACAAAAAAAAAAACAAAAAAAGTATCAAACAACTTAGTTAGCATACCGAAGGGTGAAAACAAGCGTACAAATAAAGCTGATGTTAGCAAAGAAAATGCACAACCACTCACCCTAACCAAAACCATGTGCTTGTCAATTACTTGTCTAACTAAACCAACATGAGAATAAGATCCAGGGTCCTGAAGCAGCTGGACTTCTTCCTTAATCTTTCTCACTGTTCAATTCACAAAATTCAATTTATCAATCCAACAAAATAATTCCATGAACACAAGATCCACATTTTACATTCACATTGTAACTAAGACGAAACTCAGATTCAATAGTTGACATCATGGCTGGCATAACCAGAAAAAAAGTTGCTTCCTCGCTTAAGTATATAAAACAATAGATGCTTTTGCTTAAAACATATTACTAACCGAAACCAAAGAACGAAACTTTTCATTAGATCCCAGTTCCCACAATAGAAACAGGGTTGTATCTCAACATTTACTAAAATAATCACGCCCAGAAACAGATTCGAATCCAAATTTTTAGTACCCAATTACAAACATACCCAAGAAAGTCAGTACCAAATTCCAGTTTTCAATCTATGGTATTTCCTCAGAGAAAACGATAGTTTTGATATATTAGTGAACTCAAAATGTCTTCTTTCTTATCAATATTTACACCCCCAATCCCAAATATTACTACACTAGCAAAATCAAGAAACAACATCACAGAGCAAGAATCGAATCAGAAAACCCTAAGGACCAGTACCAATCGCAAAACACTAAGAATCAGCGTGAGGGCTTAAAATGTGAGATAAAAATTGAACCTTGTGAGTTGAGAATGCTGGTTTCAGCTTCGAGGTGAAGGAGATTCTGCTCCTTCTGGTGGAGCTGGTGCAGGACGTCGTGGATTTTTCGGATATAGTAGCGTCTGATACCCTTGAATTGGGTGACAGCCATGGGAGATTCTTGAGAGCTTTTAGTTTCTTTCAGGTGTTTTCTGTAACCCAAGACTGAAAATGCCAAACTTCAAACGTAGTAGAGACTTGACTTACATTCCAAGTCATTACAGGGATTTGATTAGGATACGTGTTATATTCAGTTAGAAACTGTTTGTGGTCAGTTTGATTACTGGAATTAGTTAGTTGTTTGTTAATTTAGGCGCCAAAACGGTCTCTCTTTTTTTGTTTTTTGTTTTTCTTTAGATACAAGCGATATTCTAAACTACAAAGAAGAGGGAGTTTCTTACATATACTATCAATGTGTCATGAGGGTTCGAACATAAGATCATTAATATGCAAGGTAAACTCTGTTGGTAAAAAAGAAAAAATTAATTCCTCCTTTTAACATTATCATTTTCTATATAAAAGGAAAAAAAACGCAACGAACATTATAGTTTCACGGATTTGGACATGTCCATTTAGGCCTTTCCGTTTCCAATTTATAACGCGAAGGAGACCCAAAAGGCCAACCAAAGCGAAGTGGACGCTGGTAGTGGTAAATGGCACTTCGAAGCCTGAGCTCATTTACAGCCGTCCGATTCGAAGCTCCCAAATCCAACGGTGCTCCTATTCCTCCTCCACGGCATCAAGACCCTTTGCCCCGACTCTCCGTCACCAAGCCCTCTTGGGTCGTCCGCACAGAGGCAAGTTATCAAGTTCAACACTTTAATACTTCATATCCTTCTTTTTCTTTCTTTTGGCTCCTATGAAAATGGTGGGAAGTGAGAGAATGCAAGTAAAAGTAGGGAATTTAAAGAGTTGATGTTCAGATGTTGGGCTTCCAGAACGACCAGATGGGTGCTCTGTGTTGGGTTTGTTTAAAATGGAATTTTTAGTAGGTGAATTATATGTTTTGGTTTTCAAAAACTCTGCTTTTAGTTGGGTTTTCTGTATTCTTGTTGATTATTATGATTATGATTTTGAATATATTCATCAAGTTTGGTTCACTCATATAGTGACTCTTTCAGGATTGGATTTCATTATCAGATTTGGAACTGTGAAATACGATAGAAATTTATGCACTGAAATCATCGTGTTCTGGTAGAACCATCCACTGACATTAACACTGAACCATATTTGTGAATATATGCTCCTAATACCTTTATTTATTTATTTTAAAACTATTACATATATTCAAGTGCCTATATTGACATTAGTTTGTTTGTAACTTTGTAAGAGTTTATCAAAATTATCTCCACTAACATTAAGTTGGGAACTTACTAAATTCAAAGGGATGCAAATATGACGTATTATTTCATGTTTTCTATGTTTAACTTTTCGACCACCTCTGTTTGTTGCAGTCAAATGTTCACAGAGAAGTAAGAAGGAAGCCGGATCCACCTTGTGAGGTCTGCACAGGGAGTGGAAGGGTCAATTGCCACGATTGTTATGGAACAGGTCTATCTCTTTCTTTCCCTCTTATGTACACAATGTGTTCTATGTATTCTCATTTGCTCATCTTTCAGAATTTGGATAATTGACTTTAATTTGACACGAGCAGATGTTGAATTGTCTCCTTTAGTGTAGCTTGTGTGCCACCCTAGAAGGTCTGCTTTTTCTTTATGAACTTAAAACCCGAATATTTCAATAGTTCTGAATCATACAACAAATTTAGTTCAGCTTTCCAAAGTTATGAAAGTTGTACATGAATTGCAGCCAAAAGTTCCTCGAGCCTTTGACATCTTGACCAAAAAAATGCTTTAAGATTTTTACATGTTCCCACAGAAGTCTGACGGTTTTTGAGAGAGGTTGAGATTCAAAAGTTTCACCATCAGTGTATGCAACTAACTGTGGGGAACTGAACTTCACCATCACATTTGTTCATTACTATGAATACTTAACTGGCCCCTGTTTAAAGTTTTTGAATACAATTGTGTTTTACTTACATAAGGATTTCACTCACCTATAGAAGTAGTTTTCAGATGCACACATCTTGCCTTTACTTAATAAGATCCAATTTATCAGGGGATCACAACCTAACTTCAGCTGACCTGTGATGTACACATTCTTGTTAAAAGAATTTCTTAACCAACACTGAGGTTAGGCAGGTCAATATACAGCAAACATATGAACACGATCCTGCTTTATACAGATGTACTGGTCATTTGCACCCAGTCCTTTTTTTCTTTTTTCCTTTCTCTATTGGTGAAATTTTAAATTCAGACTAAACCCCTCACCCAACTGCAACTCAACCTTTAAGCTTTGAATTTAGCTCAAAGGTACTCAATACTCTGGTCCGGAAAGTAGATGTTTAAAATCCTGATATCTATTGAAAGACAAGGAGATCCGCTGTCCTCGTTTCTGTATACGTTGGTTAGTGACGTTTTGAGCAGATTTCTTGAAAGGGCTCAAGAATTCAATCTAATACGTGGGTTTGTTTCTGGACAAGACTATGTAGAAGTTTCTCATCTCCAGTTCGCTGACGACACTATTTTTTTTCTGGACGACAAGGAGGAGTCTTGGGTAAATTTGCTGGAGGTGTTGGATTTGTTTAGTAAGGTCTCAGGAAAGAAAATAAATAAGGCTAAAAGTTCCCTCTTCGGAATTAATTTCAGTAACGATTCTCTGGAAGCCATTGCCAGTAGCTGGGGTTGTGAGGTGGGTAGTTGGCCTATGGTGTATTTGGGTCTTCCTCTTGGAGGAAATCCAAGAATTCTTACATTCTGGAACCCAGTAGTGTAAAAGGTAGAGAAACGATTACAAAATGGAAACGGGCTTGTTTATCGAAAGGCGGATGGCTAACTCTAATTCAGGCGGTGTTAAGTAATATCCCCTCATATTTTTTGTCTCTTTTCAAAATGCATGTAGGTGTTGCTGCCAAGGTGGAACAACTGATGCGCAACTTCTTGTGGGAGGGAGCAGAGGAAGGAAAGAATGTCCACCTTGTGAATTGGGAGCGGGTGTCCAGAATTAGGGAAGCAGGAGAGCTTGGCATTGGGTCCTTGAGAGAAAGAAACGAAGCCTTGAGGGCAAAATGGTTGTGGAGATTTCCAATTGTAACCAATGCTACGTGGGATAAGGTAATTAAGAGCAAATATGGACTAGACTCCGATGTGTTGCTGATTTTCTGTTGGCAATGGAGAAAAGGTTAGATTTTGGGAGGAATATTGGTTGAAGGAAGGTTTATTGTGGGAATTATTTCCTAGAATATTCTCCCTGTCCAGGAAAAAGGATCAATGTATTTCAGACTTTGTTATCGACGCAGTGATACCTCACAATTGGGATTTTGGTTTCAGAAGGAATTTGACTGATGCCAAGATTGCAGAAGTGATATTACTTCTGGATATTCAAAGAGAGGTACGTCTAATTCATACGAGATCGGACAGATTTGGGAGATTGAGGACCATGGGTCGTTTTTGTGCAAATCATTTAGGTCTTTTATCCTGTCTAACGGCACGAGGGATGTTTTCTCCCCTTTCGCCTTAGTTTGGAAGGCGAAGACTCCCCCGAAACTTAAGTTCCTTCAGTGGCTGGTTGCGAATGGGAAAGTTAACACTTGCGATCTTATTCAAAGGAGGAGCCCGAAGATGTGTTTATCTCCTTACTGGTGCATTCTGTACAAGTCGTGCGCTGCGCAGAAAACATTGATCATCTATTCATTCACTGTTCGTACTCACTAAATCTATGGTGGAAACTGTTAAACGAACTCAGAGCCGTTTGGGTGATCCCTAGAGGTTGTATTGAGCTCCTTAGTCCCAAACTGACAGTTCTGAGGAAGGGGAAGAGAGCTCGAACTTTACGGGACTGTCTTGTTGATGCTATTTTCTGGAATTTATGGCTGGAACGCAACAGAAGAATTTTTCAGGGGTATGATGGAGTGAGATCCGAAGAACTATGGGATAGAGTAAAATTTTGGGCTTCTCTTTGGGCATCTGTCTCTGGGCATTTTAAGGATTACCATTATTCTATTATCTTGAGAGACATGAGTGCTGTCTTAGGATAAGTTTACTTAAGTTGTGCTTTAGCTTCTAACCTATCCTTGGTTGGAGTAGTTTTAGATGAATCTTTCTTGCTTCCTGCTTATAATGAGCAGGTTCTCTCTTTGGTGTATAATTGAGGATAGCTTTTCCTCTTGACAATCAATACAAATGTTTCCATTCAAAAATAAAATAAAATAAAATAAAATTGAGTGCAGTCCTGCTGCACCAGCTTTCGCAATAGATTTCAGACTTGCTTGGATGTTTCTTTGTTCTGTTTTGAGTGTTTGGCTAGGTCTGTTGGTTCTTATGTCTGTTTCCAAATGCTTTTTATTTATTTATTTGTTGTTTTTGTTCAGATTCTTATATTTTTTTATCATCTATATGAAAGGGAGGACAAACTCAGTTGACATGCGAATACTCCCCAAAGGGGAATGGCCAAAATGGTGATCTATCAAGACTTCCCATACATTTTATACTGAGAATTCTACCCTGTTCTGAATATGCTCACATAAACTGCCTTCAACCACTCTTGCAGGTGCAGGACTTGTGGTGGAAGTGGTTTAGGTTACTGCTCCCGCTGCCTTGGGACTGGAGAGTATCGATATTTAATGGGCTTTCAATTCATGAAGATGGATTCTTCTCATAACCGAGACAACAAGAATGAGGTTCAAAGGAATCAAGACCGCCGTACTGCTGCAGATTTCTATGAAGAATAGGTAACTTTAAGCCCTAAAATGTGAAAGCTCAGTCAGGGTAGAAAACAACCCTTGTGTATAGAGCAGATTTGCTAAGAACGGTAATAAAATAGTGAGGGAAAAGCAGAGAGTGAGAATGGGAGATAGCAACCCATGGTGTATGTATACATATCAGTAGACAGAGTCTATTCTGTGCCAAAATTTGGTTTTGCCAAGTGGAAATGCTATTAATGCAGATAGAAAATTGAGGGCTATAGAGGTTCAACTATTATTCAATACAGATTATTGTTTTATACTGTCGGAGTCAAAACTAAAAGAAACATTCCACACAGTAAACATTCCATACGGTTTTATTGGTTCTCTCATACTTGGATCTTAAGGAATAAAAGTATTTTATTATACAGTTGAAGGCAAAAGTTGCCTGCATCGACCAAAACGTTGACGATATGACCTGGGGTGTTAAAACGAGACTTTCAGCTCTTTGCGTCACAGTACGGTAACGGTGCCTGCCCATTGGTACTTAGTCTGCTGGTCCTTGAAAGCTAGGGTTTAAGCTCTGCTGTGAAGAGGGGCATATTTTCAACAGTCAGGTAAGCATTCAAGCTCTGTAAACCCTAAATTTGATCCAAAATCATAGTTCTGTATAACCAGAACTCAATGATTTATAGGAGGAAGCTGTGCCCAATAAATTTTTGTAGACTCACCAAAACCCCCACCTTCTAACAATCTGATCTGGACAATATTTCTATAAGTATGGATCATCCCAAACATAATACTTACTTGTTTTGACAAGCTTATCCTTTTGAGAGTGAGATCCTCCGGAATCAGTTTTGAAGCCTTGTAATTGATAATGTTAGCGTACCAAGGGTCCTTGGCGTCAAGGGTGAAGAGTTGCTCATCGGGGAAACTTTCACGTAGAGGAAGCACGTCCTCTTCTTCATTGGATCCGTGCACTAGCCTACTCAAATGCTCAGCCACCGCATTTTCACTCTCTTTCTTGTCTCTAATCACCAAATCGAATTCTTGAAGTAAGAGAGTCCACCTAATCAATCGCGGCTTGGCTTCCTTCTTTTGGAGGAGGTACCTTAGTGCTGCACGATCAAAGAATACAATTACTTTAGTGCCAATAAGATATGATCTAAATTTCTCTAAAGCAAAAATAACAAGAAGCAACTCCTTTTCCGTAGTTGAACAATTCAACTGAGCATCATTCAAAGTCAGGGAGGCATAATAGATGACATGTGGTACATTGTGCACTCTTTGTCCAAGAACGGCCCTCACTATATAATCTGAGGCGTCACACATCAACTCAAAGGGAGAATTCCAATCTGGAGGCTACATGATAACGGCAGACGTCAAGAGCTCCTTAAGCTTGTTAAATGCAACCAAGCACTCTTCATTAAACTCGAATTCCACATCTTTGCCAAGCAACCGACATAGGGGCCTTGATATCTTTGAAAAGTCCTTGATGAAACGCCTATAGAACCCTGCATGTCCTAGGAATGACCTAATCTCCTTCACGGTTTTGGGGGGCTGCAAGCCTCTCACAATGTCGATTTTTGCCTTGTCCACTTCAATTCCCCTACAAGAGATAATGTGACCTAATACAATACCCTGCTGTACCATGAAGTGACACTTCTCCCAATGGAGTACTAAATTGCATTCTTGACACCTTTTCAAAACTAAAGAGAGGTTGTGAAGACAAATATCAAATGAATAACCAAAAACGGAAAAATCATCCATAAATACCTCTATTATCTCCTCCACCATATTAGAAAAAATGGACATCATGCAACATTGAAAAGTGGCAGGTGCGTTACATAAACCAAAAGGCATACGCCTATAAGCAAACGTATCAAATGGACAGGTGAAGGTGGCCTTTTCTTGATCTTCCGGAGATATGGCAATTTGATTGTATCCAGAGTATTCATCCAAGAAGAAATAATGACTATGACCTGCAAGATGCCCAAGCATTTGATCAATAAATGGTAACAGAAAGTGATCCTTACGTGTCGTGGTATTTAGCTTTCTATAATCTATGCATACTCTCCAACCCGTGTCAATAGAAGCCTTCTTCATGACTATTCAATTCAATAAACCAAGAGAGAATAAGCAACTACTACTAAAAGCTTTCAGCGGAATAGGTTTTCACTTTTCAATCATGCGACTAGGAAAGCAGAGAAAAGATCAACTGTTGAAGTGAATCTTCATATGTGAGCTTAGTAGCCTACACTAAGTTACAAACATCAGTACATCTTGCTCTTAACAAAATTTCTTTTGATTTCGATTTTTCTTTCTATTGTTTGGTTTCTTTAAAACTAAATAGAATAAATAATAAAAAATAATTATTTAAAAATAAAAATAAAATAGAAAAGAAAAAGAAAGTCAGCCAGCCACCTATGTCAAGAAGGATGGGGCCTCCATGATGGAAGCTAAGCTAGCTGCATGGATTGACACGCCCATTACGGTAGACCATTTTATAAAAAACTAAAAAGAACATTTTATATATTCTAAGTACGGGTGGGCATTGGAACCCCAAAACTGCAAAATCGAACCAAACCAATTCGAAAAAAAAAACCGAAGTAAACCGTGTTGACCCAAAAAGTAAAAAACGGAGACAAATCCGAACCAAATCGGTTCAGATCGATTTTAGTTCCGATTTTCCTCAGGAACCAGTTCAATCCAAACCGGTGAAATAGAATTAATTTATATTTTTTATATTATATATATATATTTGATATTATATATATTTTCATACGTGGCGAAGTTTGATTGGGTGTGTATGCTGCTATCATAGGTAGCGCACACACAGGATTACACCAAAAAAAAGGCCCTTGCTTACGTTTTTCACTTTCTTCGTTCATTCCTCTCCTCCCGTTACGTTTCTTCCTCCCATTTCGTTTCATACTCAGCCAGCCGCCACCGATTCCAAACCTCTCTCTCAGCCATCACGTCACGCCTCTCTCTACCGCCGCTCTTCTCTCAGCCTCTCTCAGTCGCCGCCGTCACGCAGGTCAGATTCTCTCTCTCTATCTCTTTATTTTATTTTATTTTATTTTTTTTCCCCCAATTCGATTTTCTGATTCTCTCTGTTCTCCAGCAAATCGGAGATCCCATTCGCTCACAGCGTCCACCTCTTCATCTCGTATAGCTCTTTGTCTCTGTCTCTCTCAGGTACTGTTCATCTTTCTCTCTCTCTCTCTCTCTCTCTCTCTCTCAACTCATCTTCGATTCTGTGACTAGGGTTTTGCATCTGTTTGGGTATTTAGGTTTTGATTGCGTGTGCATCTGTTTACCCGCTCCTTACGGAAAATCAATGCTGGAGGAGCTACCGATTGTTGTTTGCAGATTTATTTTTTGATTTTCTGATTATTTTGATTTTTATTCATTGAATATGTCATGTCTTGTTCTGGAAAAACCATCACGTACTCCTTGTTAGGATTTTTGGCTCGTCAAATATGTCCTAGTTGGTTTAGGATTGTTTTAGGAAAATTAGAGGTATACCAATTCTTGTCCTAGAGGGATTAGGAAAGAATTTCAGTTTTCCTTATTCAATTCAGGTTTGGATTTCTAGAAGTCTATTAGGATTTGGATAAGTGTAATTTCCTAATCTACTTAGGAATAGGAATCCAATCAGCCTTGGGACATGTAAGCCAACTCTATATCTATAAATAGGGTGTGGCAAGGCTTATTTTAAAGAGAGGAAAAACAGCCAGAGACAGCCAAGAGTTTTGAGATTAGTTCTAGGGTTGCAAAAGTTCTGTAATCTCTATTATTAATCAAAGGAGCGGTGATTTCTCTACCTAGAGAAATCACAACTGGACGTAGGCAAAAGTTCTGCCGAACCAGTATAATTCTTGTGTGTTTCTAAGTGTTTTAATATTTGCTAGTTTAGTCTATTGCCGTTGGTTACATCAAAGAACAAGATCTAGAAGGTGAGTTATTTAACAAGTGGTATCAGGAGCCTAGGTTAAGGGGTTCTATGATGTCTAAAGGGAAGATGAATGCGGATCTAGGACCTGCGTTAAAGCCCTTTGACGGCAAGGATGACTTCACGGATTGGCAAAGGATGATGAAGAACGTACTGATACAGCAAGATTTGGATGATGCACTCAGCGGTGAGAAGCCAACAGGCATGACAGACACAGCATGGACTAAGGTTCTCAAGAAAGCCAAGAGTTCCATCGAGATCCATCTCACAAGATCAGTTCGGTCACACATCACAGAAAAGATGACTGCCTAAGAAGCATGAGAAAAGTTGGAGAATGTTTATATGGGCAAAATCGTGTCCAATAAAATTTTTCTAAAGGATGAACTATTCGGACTTCGACTGGAAGAAGGAGGTGATATTGAAGATCACGTATGCAGGTTTCAAAATTGCATAACTAATCTTCAGAAGGTCGAAGAAACTTACAAAGATGATGATATGGCTATCATCTTGCTGAGGTCTCTACCTTCGTCTTTCAAGCACTTTCGAACAACTCTAATGTTTGGAAAAGAGTCCCTGAAGCTTGAAGACGTGATTCAAGCTCTT